TCCCTCAAATACGTTTGTGAATTTGTACATTGTACAGTGAGGATATGACACGGTAAACTAACGTTTGCATATATTTTCATTCAATCTAATTAATCGTGATTTAAGAGTACTCTCGTGCTACATAGAATGGTAATTGATAGTCCTGCTGCTTGAACAGGGTGATAATATGACGCTGTTATTTTTGGCCCACATCTGTTAATCTCTACGGAATCATCGCTGCTCTGGTTTGGAACGTTAAACTTTATGAAAATGATGGTATCTCCCCTCCTTCAAGAGCGTCAGCGACATGGTCAACACAGGATACATGGGGTGTTATGAATGTTGCCTTTGGGACATCTCACTGGATGCTTGGGGTGTACGGACGGTGGCCCTGAGTGACACTGCCATGAACTCCACAGCTCCTGATTTAGTCCTAGTTTGACCTGGGATCAGTGGAGGTCAAGGCCCAACTGTCATTATGATGTAAACCTGTATGTGTAAACCCATATGTGGTGCTCGGTTTATTTTGGTCTGGCCCCATACAGTATGTGCTGTTGCCAAGTCTTCTATGGTTACAGCATGACAATAATAGAAGAGTTTGGCATGTCAATGATAAAGGAGTTGTCTACACTACAGCATATACAGTATAGGACCAGGCTAGAAGAGTTGTCATGTAGTGTAGTTGAAAGGGAAAGGGGGAATGTTAAGGGTTTACTAAATGTACTGCCCACACGCGCAAACAAACACACATATTACACAAGGGTGACCGGGGTTGGTTGTTGCTGTGTCTCCCTAAGGAGTTTATGGGAGTCCCACAAACCCCTTACATACAATACATCAGACAGACAGGTCAGATCATATTGCTGATACACTCATAACCCCAGTCAGTCATAACCTAACATGGCTGACAGCCCAGTCACCCCTTTCAAACTCCTCAGGGAAATCTGCCACTCACCACTGCAGATCAGAAACACTGATTGCTTAAGACTAGGTTAGGTTTAGACTAGCCTAATGTTGAGTCCCAGCAGTATTGTGACACCTGCCTTCCTCCTTAGACCTAATGGAAAGAACACTGGCCAGTATGATGCCGTCACCGTCTTAGTTCACCAATGCCCTTTATACGCAAAGCTTCTCAGTGTTTTCAAAATGTAATGTGACGCAATCTGACATGCTGAATTAGATGTTGGGTGTTGGGTGTTCCAGTTAACCAACTGAGGGGCCAGTCTGCAACATCCAAGGGGCCAGTGCTGGTCCATGGACTGGAGGTTAAGAGACACTGGTATAGATGACTCGATCTCCAATACCCCATGTGGTGTAGTCCCCCCTCCCCTCCCTGTGTGTTTGGATGAGGAGGGGCTCCCTCCCTGCTGTCCCCTGTGTTATCTTCTCCTGCGGAATGTGCCACAACAGCATAGCTAAAATAAGACACCAAAACTACTGAAGAGAGGGCTGGTATTAGCCAGCTAAATGTCAGGAGATAGTGGAGATAGCTGGACTGGGCAGACGTGTTTTTGTGTGACACGATGAATGCCCATGCAGGTTTATCCTCTTCAATCAAGTTGAGCTTTCTTTAGATGGTATATCGGTTTACTATTTACTTTTGAAGGGTTGAATGTAACTGCCATTTAGAATTCAGTCCCTTTTATTTTATCGCAATATTTGCATCTATGGAGAAGCAGAAGTCAGTGTGTGCACTGTATGGTTCGCTCTAGAGGGATCTATATACAGCCATAGAATTAGAATTATAAAATTTACTCAAGAGCGAAAGGAATGCATTAGTTTGTATGCTGCCAATCCAAAACCATGCATGGTTTAAAATGACTAGTATATATTGTAAAATAGGTCGAGAGGTTTGACAACTATACCGCATCAAATTCAAGATAGTTGGAAACCAGATTTTTATTTTCTATTTTAATCAATAGATCATCTCTTTTGGTACTGTCCTTGGAGTCAGGTCCAGGAGTGGTTGTTAAGTCATAATGTCTGTGTTTAGATGGACCTACAAAAAGTACTGTTAGGAGATCTGAAAAACCATGATCAATCCAATGGGAAATATGATTATATTCTTAAAAGTAAAGTAGTTATTCTTAGGGCAATTTCGGTAGAAATGGTACGAATAGAGGTTCAAGACCCTCGTAAGACAGTAAAATGTAAGGATGTATTGCAAAAATAAAATGGTAACATACTGGGAAAGATGTGTTAGTCTGTGGATATCTGAGGGGTGGAATTAAGATCAGAGGGATTGGTTGATTTGACAATGCACTTGGAGTCCAGTAGAAATAGGAGGAGGCTATATGTACACTGAACAAAAATATAAACGCAACATGTAAAGTGTTGGTCCCAAGTTTCATGAGGTGAAATAAAAGATCCCAGAAATGTTCCATACACACAAAAAGCTTATTTCTCTCAAATGTTGTGCACACATTTGTTTGCATCCCTGTTAGTGAGCATTTCTCCTTTGCCAAGATGATCCATCCACCGGACAGGTGTGGCATATCAAGAAGCTGATTAAACAGCACGATCATTACACAGGTACACCTTGTGCTGGGGACAATAAAAGGCAACTCTAAAATGTGCAGTTTTGTCACACAACACAGGTGTCTCAAGTTTTGATGGAGCGTGCAATTGGCATGCTGACTGCAGGAATGTCCACCAGAGCTGTTGCCAGAGAATTGAATGTTTATTTCTCTACCATAAGCTGCCTCCAATGTCGTTTTAGAGAATTTGGCAGTACGTCCAACTGGCCTCACAACTGCAGACCATGTGTATGGTGTCGTGTGGGCGAGCGGTTTAATGATGTCAACTTGTGAACAGAGTGCCCCATGGTGGCGGTGGGGTTATGGTATGTGCAGGCATAAGCTACGGACGATGAACACAATTGCATTTTATCGATGGCAATACCGTGACGAGATCCTGAGGCCCATTGTGAGGCCCATTTTTTTTTTAAAAGGTATCTGTGACCAACAGATGCATATCTGTTTTCCCAGTCATGTGAAATCCATAGATTAGGGCCTAATGCATTTATTTCAATTGACTGATTTCCTCAAATGAACTGTAACTCAGTAAAATCTTTGAAATTGTTGCATGTTACTTTTATATATTTGTTCAGTATATACAGTACCAGTCAAAAATTTGGACACACCTACTCATTACCATTTTCTACTGAATAATAGTGAAGACATCAAAACTATGAAATAACACATGGAATCTTGTAGTAACCAAAAAAGTTTTAAACAAATAATGTATATTTGAGATTCTTCAAAGTAGCCACCTTTTGCCTTGATGACAGCTTTGTACACTCTTGGCATTCTCTCAACCAGCTTCACCTTGAATGCTTTTCCAACAGTCATGAAGGAGTTCCCACATATGCTGAGCACTTGTTGGCTGCTTTTCCTTCACTCTCCGGTCCAACTCATTCCAAACCATCTCAATTGGGTTGAGGTCAGGTGATTGTGGAGGCCAGGTCATCTGATGCAGGACTCCATCACTTTCCTTCTTGGTCAAATAGCCCTTACACAGTCTGGAGGTGTGTTGGGTCAATGTCCTGTTGAAAAACAAATGATAGTCCCACTAAGCGCAAACCAGATGGGATGGCGTATCGCTGCAGAATGATGTGGTAGCCATGCTGGTTAAGTGTGCCTTGAATTCTAAATAAATTACAGACGGTGTCACCAGCAAAGCACACCCACACCATCGCACCTCCTCCTCCATGCTTCACGGTGGGAACCACACTTGCGGAGATCATCCATTCACCTACTCTGCGTCTCACAAAGACACGCCGGTTGGAAGTAGTGGTTTCTTTGCAGCAATTCGACCATGAAGGCCTGATTCATGCAGTCTCTTCTGAACCGTTGATGTTGAGATGTGTCTGTTACTTGAACTCTGTGAAGCATTTATTTGGGCTGCAATTTCGGAGGCTGGTAACTCTAATGAACTTATCCTCTGCAGCAGAGGTAACTCTGGGTCTTCCTTTCCTGTGGTAGTCCTCATGAGAGCCAGTTTCATCATAGCGCTTGATGGTTTTTGCGACTGCACTTGAAGAAACGTTCAAAGTTCTTGAAATGTTCCAGATTGACTGTCCTTCATGTCTTATAGTAATGATGGACTGTCATTTCTCTTTGCTTATTTGAGCTGTTCTTGCCATAATATGGACTTGGTCTTTTACCAAATAAGGCTATCTTCTGTATACCACCCCTACCTTGTCACAACACAACTGATTGGCTGAAACGCATTAAGAAGGAAAGAAATTCCAGAAATTAACTTTTAAGAAGGCACACCTGTTAATTGAAATGCATTCCAGGTGACTACCTCATGAAGCTGGTTGAGAGAATGCCAAGAGTGTGCAAAGCGGTCATCAAGGCAAGGGGTGGCTACTTTGAAGAATCTCAAATATAAAATAGATTTAGATTTGTTTAACACTTTTTTGGTTACTACATGATTCCATATGTATTATTTCATAGTTGTGATGTCTTCACTATTATTCTACAATGTAGAAAATAGAAAAACATAAAGAAAAACCTTTGAATGAGTAGGTGTGTCCAAACTTTTGTCTGGTACTGTGTATATATATTGAATTGCAATGTTTTCCACCAGATCCTCCAACCAGGGGAGGGGTGGTAGAAAGAATAAATACTTTGTAAAATAAGGATGATCAGAAATGATGCAAGCCAAGTTATTTGATAGACTAATCTGTCTTCTAGCAAAAAAAACAGAACTGTTTGTTTATGTTTTTGCTGTGTAATGCACACTTGGAAGTGGTTGTTTTTCAGATCAAACATAATTTAGTTTACTTCAACAATTTACATTTGGGTTCAAGTAATCCCTCATCTCCTCCGCTGTTACGATAGTGTGCCTTTATAATTATTACTTATAGGTGATTGTTAGATAAGTGAGTGGAGACTTGAATGTCAAAGTGAAGTTGCTGAAAAGTTACTGGAGATGAGCAGAGTCCCATGGCAGTCCCATGGTCGACTGGAGGAAATGTGAACCACTCTGTACTCATCTCCCACGTCACTGGAAGTATGGCCTCAGAAATATGTCAGCAGGGTGGGTCTGTGGCCGTGTGTGTGGGTGTCATATGTCAACCCGTTCCCCGTGCTGGGTCGTGACTGCTGAGGGGCATGTGAGGGCTGTCATGTGATCAAGCGACGGCCTCAACCTGACATAGACACTGCCAGAGCAGGAGCCTGCCAGCCTCTCAGGCAGCTGTCCAATAATAGTATGGCCAGGCTGAGTGATATGTCACTGTTAGTACTGTATGGTATACTGTACAATAGATACAGATAACTGCCTAAATAAAGGAAACACTTGAGTAAATGAAGGATACAAAGTATATTGTAAGCAGGTGGATCCACACCGGTGTGGTTCCTGAGTTAATTAACCAATTATCATCCCATCATGCTTAGGGTCATGTATAAAAATGCCCAGTTGCCCATTATTTTGGCTACCATGGCTAGAAGAAGAGATCTCAGAGACTTTGAAAGAGGGGTCTCTAAGGAGCATAGGGGGTTTAAAGGGTGTGTGTGTGCGTGCGTGTGTGCGTGCGTGCGTCAGTCACCAGATCTCAAACCAATTGAAAACTTATGGGAGCGGAATGGCGCCTAAGACAGCGTTTTCCACCACCATCAACAAAACACCAAATGATGGAATTTCTCGTGGAAGAATGGTGTCACATCCCTCCAATAGAGTTCCAGACACTTGTAGAATCTATAATGCGCATCAAAGCTGTTCTGAAGGCTTGTTGGGGCCTAACGCCATATTAAGACACTTTATGTTGGCGTTTCCTTTATTTTGTCAGTTATCAGTATCTCTTCACTGATTTATGATATGATACACATCGTCAAGGCTGGGGAATGGCACAGTGGTAGTGGTAGTAGTACATGAAGCTAGGAATAGAGGAAGAAAGGATTTATAACTATATTCCACTCTATTGTTAATTGGCAGAATGTAAATGTTCTTCACATTTATTTGATTTGATTTTAAACAAATCTGAACCAGCTTTGGATACATTATTTAGGTATTTGAAGATGTTCTCTGTGACTGTGTGTTGGTCCAACCCGTTGTGTTGGTCCACCCGCTTACCCTGCGGTGATCCGCTGAAATCAATTTATTGCTGTTCTTTAGGGACAGGGTGGGGTGGATATTTTCATTATTTTCTTGGCAGGTTTCCAGGCCCTGGCAGCACTTAACCACACACGTTGTGAATGGAAAATCCCATCTGTAAGCTCAACTCAGATGATTCATCTGGATGAATGAAGTATTATTGACCCATCAGCTCTGCTGATGATAAAGTAATCAATATTCTTCTGAAAAGCAAAATATCTTGGGGAGCCACTCCACTATTACAGTATCATGTGACAAGCACATAATCTATTGAAATTGTACAGTATATCTCAATCAGAAAGGCCTCAATTGAGTTGAGATTGCCTGTGAACATAGAAACAGCATTACAGGAGATGTCTAGGGAAACTCCATGTATAAATGACAGGCCTGTGTAGACCAGTGTTAACTGTTAATCCTTTCTCTGGTCCTTGTCTTTCCTCCACAGTGTCCGGCCTCTCGTCTTCCCCCACCCCACCCAGCACCCCCACCCAGGCCCCCAGCCAGCCCATGCTGTTCCCCCAGGAGGTCCATCGGAGTGCCCCTGAACGCCTGGACCACTCCCTCTCATCACCCTCCACTGCCAAGCCCCCCATGCCCTCCTCTTCTCCGATACCCTACTCCTTCCCATTGCCCCAAGCTACCTCACAGCCAGTGAGTGATACCTCTTCCTACCTACTACACCAACTGCTGGTTTACTCTGTTTGTTAGTGTCAGTGATAATTGATTGTGCAGTGAAGCAATATTGCAGGGTTGCCAAAAGTGGTGTAAGGGGGAAGCTGATGTGATTTTCTGAGAAGGCCCCCTTTTTCAGATTTTCTGAGAAGGCCCCCCCCCCCCCCCCCAGCTATTAAAAAACATTTGGAGCATTTTTTAGCAGACATCAAAGGATCTGAGCTTCCTTAAAAATAATAGCCTTTGCTGAGCCTTTTTAAAAACCATGGAGGTGTTATTTTTCCACTGCAGCTTATGGTCAATCACCAGCCCAAGATATTTGTACGAGTCCACCCTTTCGACAGGAAAAGTTAAAGAACATAATGCGGTCTGCAGTCCCTGCTCTCTCCAAGTGCTCATATGCTTTGTGCACTATGAACAGCAGTGCATCTTCCACACCTATCTTGGCCTGGTAGGCAAACTGCAGGGAGTCAAGAAACCCCTGCACCTGCTGCTTTAGTTGCGCCAGGACCACTCTCTCAAACACCTTCATCAGCTGGGAAGTGAGTGCAACAGACCTGACGTTGTTTAGGCCCTGCCCCTTGGCGGTTTTTTGGGAACAGGTACAATGCAGGAGGATTTCCACTGTGTAGGTGTAGGTACAGTAGAAGTAGACAGTGACTGTATTTGTATTTATTATGGATCCCCATTAGCTGTTGCTAAGGCAGCAGCTACTCTTCCTGGGGTCCAGCAAAATTAAGGCAGGTATATAAAAAACATTTCAATACATTTCACAGATTTCACAACACATTGTGTGCCCTCAGGCCACTACTCTACTACCACATATCTACAACACTAAATAATTGTGTACGTGTGTGTATAGTGCGTATATTAACATGTGTGTGTGAATGCGTGTGTCTGTGCCTGTGTGTGTGTCTCTTCATAGTCCCCGCTGTTCACATAAAGCCAGGTGGACACTACACAACACTTGTGAACTTCAGAGATGTAACCATTTGACACTTTGGCTTTGGTTGAAGGCAATTACAAACGCATACTAGTAGTAGTCATCGCTCCTGCTCGAGAGTCTAAACATTCTGGGTGAACATTCCGTTCTCAAAACGTGTCGTTGCACATCTCACACTACAAGAGCATTGCAGATTTTGAGCCGATAAAGCATCTGGGACTGCTCAAAGATGTTGTGCGTCTTTGACCCCGCTCACATTAAACGAGCGTCGGTGACAGCCATGTAGTCATGGCTCTATATAGTACTGTGCGCCTCCCATAGTCTGTTCTGGACTTGGGGACTGTGAAGAGACCTCTGGTGGCATGTCTTGTGGGGTATGCATGGGTGAGTGAGCTGTGTGCTAGTAGTTTAAACAGACAGCTCCGTGCATTCAACATGTTAATACAGTGAGGAAAAAAGTATTTGATCCCCTGCTGATTTTGTACGTTTGCCCAATGACAAAGAGATGATCAGTCTATAATTTTAATGGTAGGTTTATTTGAACAGTGAGAGACAGAATAACAACAACAAAATCCAGAAATACGCATGTCAAAAATGTTATAAATTGATTTGCATTTTAATGAGGGAAATAAGTATTTGACCCCCTCTCAATCAGAAAGATTTCTGGCTCCCAGGTGTCTTTTATACAGGTAACGAGCTGAGATTAGGAGCACACTCTTAAAGGGAGTGCTCCTAATCTCAGTTTGTTACCTGTATAAAAGACACCTGTCCACAGAAGCAATCAATCAGATTCCAAAAACTCCACCATGGCCAAGACCAAAGAGCTCTCCAAGGATGTCAGGGACAAGATTGTAGACCTACACAAGGCTGGAATGGGCTACAAGACCATCGCCAAGCAGCTTGGTGAGAAGGTGACAACAGTTGGTGCGATTATTCGCAAATGGAAGAAACACAAAATAACTGTCAATCTCCCTCTGCCTGGGGCTCCATGCAAGATCTCACCTAGTGGAGTTGCAATGATCATGAGAATGGTGAGGAATCAGCCCAGAACTACACGGGAGGATCTTGTCAATGATCTCAAGGCAGCTGGGACCATAGTCACCAAGAAAACAATTGGTAACACACTACGCCGTGAAGGACTGAAATCCTGCAGCGCCCGCAACGTCCCCCTGCTCAAGAAAGCACATATATAGGGCCGTCTGAAGTTTGCCAATGAACATCTGAATGATTCAGAGGAGAACTGGGTGAAAGTGTTGTGGTCAGATGAGACCAAAATCGAGCTCTTTGGCATCAACTCAACTCACCATGTTTGGAGAAGGAGGAATGCTGCCTATGACCCCAAGAACACCATCCCCACCGTCAAACATGGAGGTGGAAACATTATGCTTTGGGGGTGTTTTTCTGCTAAGGGGACAGGACAACTTCACCGCATCAAAGGCACGATGGACGGGGCCATGTACCGTCAAATCTTCCCTCAGCCAGGGCATTGAAAATGGGTCGTGGATGGGTATTCCAGCATGAAAATGACCCAAAACACATAGCCAAGGCAACAAAGGAGTGGCTCAAGAAGAAGCACATTAAGGTCCTGGAGTGGCCTAGCCATAGAAAATCTGTGGAGGGAGCTGAAGGTTCGAGTTGCCAAACGTCAGCCTCGAAACCTTAATGACTTGGAGAAGATCTGCAAAGAGGAGTGGGACAAAATCCCTCCTGAGATGTATGCAAACCTGGTGGCCAACTACAAGAAATGTCTGACCTCTGTAATTGCCAACAAGGGTTTTGCCACCAAGTACTAAGGCATGTTTTGCAGAGGGGTCAAATACTTATTTCCCTCATTAAAATGCAAATCAATTTATAATATTTTTGACATGCGTTTTTCAGGATTTTTTTGTTGTTATTCTGTCTCTCACTGTTCAAATAAACCTACCATTAAAATTATAGACTGATCATGTCTTTGTCAGTGGGCAAACGTACAAAATCAGCAGGGGATCAAATACTTTCCCTCACTGTACTTCTCACAAATACAAGTAGTGATGAAGTCAAGCTCTCCTCTACTTTGAGCCAGGAGAGATTGACTTGCATATTATTAATGTTAGTTCTCTGTGTACATTTAAGTGCCAGCCGTGCTGCTCTGTTCTGGGCCAATTGTAATTTTCCTAAGACCCTCTTTGTGGCGACAAAACTAAGGCCTGTAGGACCTGCCTTGTTGATAGCATTGTTAAGAAGGAAGAGCAGCCCTTTTATTATGGACAGACCTCTCCCCATTTTAGCTACTTGTCTGTTTTGACCATGACAGTTTATAATCCAGGCAGTTTAGTCTCCTCGACTTGCTCAATTTCCACATTATTCATTACATTACAAGATTTAGTTGAGGTTTAGGGTTTAGTGAATGACTTGTCCCAAATACAATGCGTGTAGTTTTTGAAATATTTAGGACTAAGTTATTTCTTGCCACCCATTCTGAAACTGACTGCAGCTCTTTGTTAAGCGTTGCAGTGATTTCACTTGCTGTGGTAGCTGACTTTGGATGGTGTATCAATAATCCCAGTCATTACAAAGATACAGGCGTCCTTCCTAACTCAGTTGCCAGAGAGGAAGGAAACCGCTCAAGGATTTCACCATGAGGCCAATGGTGACTTTAAAACAGTTAGAGAGTTTGGCTGTGATAGGAGAATAACTGAGGATGGATGAACAACATTGTAGTTACTCCACAATCCTAACCCAAATTACAGAGTGAAAAGAAGGAAGCCTGTACAGAATCAAAACATGCATCCTGTTTGCAATAAGGCACTAAAGTAAAACTGCAAAAAAATGTGGCAAAGAAATAAACGTTATGTCCTGAATACAATGCATTATGTTTGGGACAAATCACATCACTGAGTACCAGACTTCATATTTCCAAGCATGGTGGTGGCTGCATCATGTTATGGGTATGCTTGTCATCGGCAAGGACAAGGGAGTTTTTTTTAGGATAAAAATAAACTGAATCGAGCTAAGCACAGGCAAAGTCCTAGAGGCTAACCTGGTTCAGTCTGCTTTCCAACAGACACTGGGAAACAAATTCACCTTTCAGCAGGACATTAACCTAAAACTCAAGGCCAAATATACACTGGAGTTGCTTACCAAGACGACATTGAATGTTCCTGATTGGCCTGGTTACAGTTTTGACTTAAATCATCTTGAAATTCTATGGCAAGATTTGGAAATTGCTGTCTAGCAATTATCAACAACCAACTTGACAGAGCTTGAAGAGCAAATATTGTACAATTCACGTGTGCAAAGCTCTTACCCAGAAAGACTCACAGTTGTAATCGCTGCCAAAGGTGATTCTAACCTGTATTGACTCAGTGGTGTGAATACTTATGTAAATTTGATATTTCTGTATTTCATTTTCAATACATTTGCTAAAATTTTAAAAACTTGTTTTCACTTTGCCATTATGGGGTATTGTGTGTAGATGGGTGGGAAAAAAATATTGAATCGATTTTGAATTCAGGCTGTAACACAACAAAATGTGGAATAAGTCGAGGGGTATGAATACTTTCAGAAGGCACTGTATTTCTCTCTCTCTCTCTCAATTTCAATTGCAATTTAAGGGCTTTATTGGCATGGAAAATGTGTGTTAACATTGCCAAAGCAAGTGAAGTAGATAGTAAACAAAAGTGAAATAAACAATAAATATTAACAGTAAACTCTCTCTCTCTCAACACACACCAGGCTCTCCTCTTACCAAATCAAAGGAATTACTTCTCTGCCAAATCCAATCTGGAAGCGTGTTAATGAAACAGCCCATCATCTCGATTTTACAGCCCCATGTTTACCTACAGCACGTTCCTGTCCCTGTTCCCTGTGGCAGTGCAGCAGCAGCAGATTGGGATGGGATTCATGCCCATGCTGATGCGGCTTTAGACGGGCTAGATTTATGACAGTGCAGTAGTGGTGTTGGCTGAAAAATTGCTGTCACCATGCGGTATAGGGTGACTGGGGGGTTGGTTGGGCAAAAGCTGAAGAACATACGCACATCCAGGTATTTTCCGCAGGTGCTTGGGTGGTAGGCAAATTCATGAAAAACTGAAGGGTCTAATCAAGGGGCTAGGGGAGATAAAAATACATGTAAATAAATCCTCATATGCTACAAAGAGCACAATATGGCTTGGCTCGTGGTACGTGCCATGATGAAGTGTTTTGTAGGATAGGGAAGAAGGCAACTTACCTCATTGACATTTGCATGTTATCGCTGTACACAGATTTAATTTTGTTATAGGATAAATTTGCTGCAGCACAGCCTCTGTCTCTGCACTGTGTCTTAGTCATTGTGCAGTAGCCAGCCTACTTCATCACATTCATCCCTTGCCATATAGATTTTTCTATGCACTATCCATATACGTAAATAATTCAGTATTGTGCAAATTGTTGCATTTTTATGTCCTGCAAAAAAAAAGTTATGGGCATAGAGAAGGACAGGGAATCCTTGGCTTCTGGCTGCTTGGCAACATAAGGGATTTCCTAATATGGTGAAAAGCCTTGGTTGTTTCGCATGGAGGGTTCTAGTGCGTGATCATAATAATAAATGAAACTTTAACGAAGTCCCCTGTCGTTCACAATCCACAGAATGCGCAGAAAAACATCTGCTTGCGAGCAGATACTGTCACGCGTAGCCTATGTCAGTCTGTTTTTTTTATTATTATTATGTTTTTGCTTCGTTTTTTATCCGTAGGAGTTGTTCACTCCTCTGTTTTAGTCTATAGTATGATCCTACTGTAGGCATTGGCTGCATTGATTGCAGCAAAATACATTTAGGAATGTTCCACTATTACAGATTTAAGGGGTGTGTAGTCTAATAATAATGTGCCATTACAGTTACTGGCAGGCACAGAGCTCCGGATATGAATTGCCAATAGTCTACAGTAGAAACTTGGACAAGGGCAGTTGAATGAGTTGCGCGCAGTGCGTATTTTGTCATTGTCAAACAGACGGGGCTTGCTTTTCTTATTGTTGGCTTTGCGCAAGGACATTTAGCCTACTTGTCAGTCTCTCAAAAAGATAGTTGATTTTGTCATGGTGTAAAGTGCCAGCAGTTATTGAATGTACCTTGTTATTTTAATCTTAACTTTGGCAAACGGCGAGTAGTGCGACTGATGTCATATTGTGGTAGATTTGGAGCGCGTTCTTGACTTCATCTGTCTCTTATTCTTACAGAATTTCTACGGTTTATTCGAAGGCATGCTGGAGAAACTTGAACTAGACGATGATGGTGTTGGTAAGTGCATTTTACTTAGTAGGCTAGTCTACATTTTGATTTTACTTGGTGTTACATAGCCATTTATTTGACGTTTTTGCTATTTATCCGCATATAGTTGAAGACCAGGCTGAATATGGAATGCAGAATGCTGATTTGTAAATTGCTGGTGTAATGATGTTTACATATCTTGCATTACTCATCTCATATGTATATACTGTATTCTATAATATTCTACTGTATCTTAGTCCATGCCGCTCTGTCATTGCTTGTCCATATATGTATATATTCTTAAATTCCATTCCTTACTTAGATGTGTGTGTATTGGGTATATGTTGTGAAATCGTTAGATATTACTTGTTGGATATTACTGCACTGTTGGAGCTAGAAGCACAAGCATTTCTCTACACCCGCAATAACACCTGCTAAACACGTGTATGTGACAAATAACATTTTATTTTGAATTGTAATGGTGACACCAGTTGCTATTCACGGAATATGATGCTCCATATGATACATTATTCCGGTTTTGCTTCTTTTACCAAGACAAAAAGTGTCATCCTGATCGCAAAATCACAATCCTTCACATTTAAGTCTTATGCAGGATTTGTTTTGATCATAACCCAATTATTGCCTGGTGATAGCGCAAAGCCTTGTGCAGTCCTGTCGTCGCACGCTGTTGGAATAAGGGATTCCCCCAGCCCAAGAGGTGGCATCATTGGTTCAGTATGAATAGTGAGATTATTCGATATACACATTTAGTGTGAATATTTGTGTGTCTGTCTTTACAGCTGCTGAACCAGACAGCGATATTTACATGCGCTTTATGAAGTCCCATAGCTGCTATGACATCGTTCCCACCAGCTCCAAGCTGGTTGTGTTTGACACGGGACTGCAAGTAAGTAAGCCCAGCTCCTCCACATGACTACACTTTGACATCATGATGGAGGGACCATATTCAAAAAGCACTTTTTTGCCTTTTAGATCATAATGGATAAGATTACATGGACAGGGGGGACCTGATCTTAGATCAGCAACCTGAGACACTTTCTGGTCCAGACAGACACACAGGGTTGGGAATTCAGACTATGTGTAAATAACTTTGAGTAGGCCTGACTATAACCTAACTTTGACCATCAGTGTAGCATTTGTTTGTCTTATTAGGTTTGTCCAGTGAGGGACATTCTTATGGTTATTGAAGTGCCTCCTTGGTCTGAAAGGCACTGAGAATGGTTTGGTTAATGTTCCATGAGGAGAGCAGTGCTATTGCTAGTGCTAATGATTTGCCTCATAAACGGTTAAACAGTAATCAGCCACCGAATCTATTAAACTCAAGGTTTTAGTTCCCTTATCTGAGTATGAAACCCCTAAAACCAGAATACTTTTGTGTATGATTTTGGATTTCAATTTTACACTTCACATTTTTACAATATGTACAATACCACCTTCAGAACCTTGCCATCCATGTGTTTTTGTATGTGATTGTGGTCCTTTCTCACAGGTAAAGAAGGCATTCTTTGCCTTAGTGGCCAATGGGGTGCGTGCTGCCCCACTATGGGACTCAGAGAGGCAGTGTTTTGTGGGTAAGAAACACCCTTTGTGTATGACATACATTCACATGAAATGCATTCACGCTTAATGCATTCGCTGATGCAAACACCTATATCCACCAATGAATGCATATCAGGGCCGTAGCCAGGGTCTGAGTTTTAGTCAGGTCCGGGAAGAAAGTTGAAGCTAATTTAATGCATTTCTATACACTTTAAACTCTAAAATGTTATTTGAAGAACAGCAAAAACAAGCAAAACTCCAGCCATTATCACATTGGTTGCTGTAGCTTCATTCAACTCAGTCAATCTATAAACACATAGCCTATTAGCTATACAGTTAGCCACTACACATTATATCATATTAACTCAGCACCAGGATTACAGCTTTACAGCTTATTTCCTACAATTCTACACATATGGGCTCCCGAGTGGCTTCCGAGTGGCGCAGCGGTCTAAGGCACTGCATCTCAGTGCTTGAGGCATTACTACAGACCCCCTAGTTCGATTCCAGGCTGTATCACAACCGGCCGTGATTGGGAGTCCCATAGGGCGGCGCACAATTGGCCCAGCGTCATCCGGGTTTGGCCGGTGTAGGCCGTCATTGTAAATAAGAATTTGTTCTTAACTGACTTGCCTAGTTAAATAAAGGTTAAATAAAAATAAAATAAATAAAAAATTGCCATGACTTATGCCTCGTTAATATGACATCTGAGTGAGAGTGACTAACAAAATCAATGGGGTCCCTGTGGGCCCGGTCGGTAATTCGGCCATGATTTCTAGAAGTTTAGATAGCTGGCTAGACTGACTAACTAGACTAATTTACCAATCAAATTTTTTTTACTGACATGGGCTACTTGAGTGACTGTCAGTGAGTGACATAACAAGAGGAAAACTGCTGATGCACAACCAAGTTTTGAAATTGCACCTTGTGTATTCTACTATTCTAACTCTCAAGTTAAGACCCCGACTGAGTTCCTATTTTTTTTATATATATACAGTACCAGTCAAAAGTTTGGACACACCTACTCATTCAAGGGTTTTTCTTTATTTTTACTATTTTCTACATTAAACAATAATAGTGAAGACATCAAAACTATGAAATAACACATATGGAATCATGTAGTAACCAAAAAGTGTTAAACAAATCAAAATATATTTTAGATTTTAGATTCTTCAAAGTAGCCACCCTTTGCCTTGATGACAGCTTTGCACACTCTTGGCATTCTCTCTCCCAACCCTGGAATGCTTTTCCAACATATGCTGAGTTCCCACATATGCTGAGCACTTGTTGGCTGCTTTTCCTACACTCTGCGGTCCAACCCATCCCAAACCATCTCAATTGGGTTGAGGTCGGGTGATTGTGGAGGCCAGGTCATCTTATGCAGCACTCCATCACTCTCCTTCTTGGTCAAATAGCCCATACACAGCCTGGAGGTGTGTTGGGTCATTGTCCTGTTGAAAAACAAATGATAGTCCCACTAAGCGCAAACCAGATGGGATGGCGTATCGCTGTGGTAGCCATGCTGGTTAAGTGTGCCTTGGACTCTAAATAAATCACTGAGTGTCACCAGCAAAGCACCCCCACACCATAACACCTCTTCCTCCATGCTTCACGGTGGGAACCACACATGCGGAGATCATCCGTTCACCTACTCTGCGTCTCACAAAGACACGGCTGTTGGAACCAAAAATCTCAAATTTGGACTCATCAGACCAAAAGACAGATTTCCACCGGTCTAATGTCCATTGCTCGTGTTTCTTGGCCCAAGCAAGTCTCTTCTTCTTATTGGTGTCCTTTAGTAGTGGTTTCTTTGCAGCAATTCAACCATGAAGGCCTGATTCACACAGTCTCCTCTGAACAGTTGATGTTGAGATGTGTCTGTTACTTGAACTCTGTGAAGCATTTATTTGGGCTGCAATTTCTGAGGCTGGTAACTCGATTGAATTTATCCTCTGCAGTAGAGGTAACTCTGGGTCTTCCTTTCCTGTGGCGGCCCTCATGAGAGCCGGTTTCAAATCAAATTGTATTTACCACATGCGCCAAATACAACCGGTGTAGATCTTACAGTGAAATGCTTACTTACAAGCCATTAACCAACAATGCGTTTTTTTTGAAAAAAAAGTATTATGTAAAAAATAGATCAGTAAAAAATAAAAAAAATATTTAAAGAGAAATTAAAGAACATAACGCTTGATGGTTTTTGCGACTGCACTTGAAAAAACGTTCAAAGTTCTTGAAATTTTCCGTATTGACTGACCTTCATGTCTTTAAAGTAATGATGGACTGTAATTTCTCTTTGCTTATTTGAGCTTATTTTATTTATTGATTTTATTTGTATTTTTATTTGAGCTGTTCTTGCCATAATATGGACTTGGTCTTTTACCAAGTAGGGCTATCTTCTGTATCCCCCTACCTTGTCACAACACAACTAAGTAATCCTTCTACCCCTCCCCCCAAAACAATAATTATTGTGAGCTATGACATGATGTAGCTAATAAAGGAATTTGAATATGTGGCAAGAGAAAAGATAATTAGCCTTTATTAAACTCACCAGATCATTTTCCATCAATGAATGTCGATTTAACTCGTTTGACTGCTATGATTAAGCAATAAGGCACAAGAGGGTATGGTATATGGCCAATTTACCACAAGTAAGGGCTGTTCATAAGCATGACGCAATGCCTGGATACAGCTGTTAGTCGTGGTATATTGGCCATATACCACAAACCCCAGGGGTACCTTATTAAGCAATAAGGCCCGAGGAGGTGTGGTATATGGCCAATATAACACGGCCAAGGGCTGTTCATAAGCACGATGCAACTCGGAGTGCCTGGACACAGCCCTTAGCCATGGTATATTAGCCATATATCACAAACCCCCGAGGTGCCTTATTGCTATTATAAACTGGTTACCAACATAATTAGAGCGTTAAAAATAAATGTTTTGTCTTACCCGTGGTATACGGTCTGATATACCACGGATATCAGCCAATCAGCATTCAGGGCTCGACCAGGTTTATAATTGTAAATAAATCATTTTTGCGAATGTGCAGAACTATAGATAAATCGGACAGGAGAGTTTGAGTGATGAAAGTTGGACAGAGGATCTCAAAATCTCTGCGCAAGAAACACTTGGACGAACATAAACTGTTAAGCTATTTTCTGGCAATTGTGCTGTTATTATGTGCCAGATGTTAAGATTACAAACCATTATAAATGGCCCGTTTGCGAGATCGACTTATCATTTAAATAGGCAAAGGCTACAGACTAAAATCTGGGTTTATGATTGTAATTCAATTTTGCCGTGGTTTGCTTAAAGGCATGTAGCCTATAGCCCCTGACAGGCCTACATCTCATTTCAGATAGTCTACAGTAGCCTAGACAATGTAGGAAAGATGTAAACTGAACGATTTAGCAGCTTGCTCAATTCAAATTAACAGACTAATTTATTCAACATGAACAGCTAGGCTGTTATGGTAAGAAGTGCTTGTGTTTTCCAATAGCCTGCTGGAATAGGCTACTGAGGATGGCGTCATCATTTCAATCACTGAATTAAATGTTAATAATATGTATATGAACTGAATATGCTTGTCAACAACAGCCAGTGTTGTTTACATTTTATTTTTTACCTGTAGCCTAATCTGACTACTGTTACTTTCAATCGAATGCGTTCTAACAACTGATTGTCAATTGCGATAGAGCTTTAATAACTTCCAATTTAATTAACTAAACATGTCCATTAATAGTTGCATAATAACACAACAATAAACTGACGTTATAGGCTATTTATTAAATTGGTTTGCCAGCTCCAGGTAGGTTACACAAGTGGCACAAATTGATTTGCAATGACTCAACATATGTATTGTATCAAATGGTAGCCTACAATGGCATATAAATTAATAGGCTACTTGATGGCCAAAAGAGGCAAATATATCATTCTCCACATTTAATGTCAGTTTCATTGAGGCCTTTTCCCCCAAAAAGAACCACGCAACGGAGTTCCATATAACTTCCATTTCAAATTTCCATTCGGGCAGACCTCCAGACCAAAGAACTGAGCATGCATAAAACACTTCGCTTGATGCCGTTTTCTTTAAGCAAAGTCAACATTAGAATGCAGTTTAAACCACCTCCAAGCAAATGTATGTAATGAGCTCTAGTGCGCCCAAAGTTGTTTTCCAGTGCTTTTTCTCCATTATTTATTGATGTGCATCAGTTCTAGCATATTAATGTTTTATGGAAAAAGGGTTGGAAATAGGTGTCTCCATAATGACAATCTTGCTAAATAGCCTACCTACAACTGGTAAAAAGTTGTCACGACGTGCGGTCTTGATTCTCTCACGTGACTCAGCCAATAGCTGTAGTGCTCTCTCAACACACACACAGCCCTCCGGCCCTCCCCACCACTCACTCACTCAGCAACAGCCTGCCCCACTACCTGACAGTCAGCAGCATGTCACAGTGAATTGTATATTTATTAAGAGAAATGCCATGGCGGCCGCGGTGCAAAATAGTAATAGGCCAAAATCCCGCAACCCGCGACCAATGCATTTTCACCCGTGACATCGTTTTAAAAGTAGTCCAATTTGGCTTGAAAACATGCCAACACTGCGCGAGTCGGCTCGGTCGGTTGGTTGGTTGGTTGGTTGGTTGGTTGGTTGGTTGGTTGGTTACTGTCTCTCCCTCCCTGCTCCCTGTTTCACTTGCTCAGAATACGTACCCTCCCCCGCCTGCTAGAGAGGTACCTCTCCCCACCTCTTGTGCTTTATCAGCTCCGTTTTAATAAAGTAGCTTAAAAAATCACTTTTCTGTTGCTTTCTTCACTTGGATCGGATTGGGTCTGGATCCGACTGGGTCTATACGGAACAGGTCTAGTTGTCTTCGGGTCCGTTCAGAACGGGTCTCTATATTTAAAAAATGCATATCGGGTTCGGGTGGGAAATTTGGACCCTTGAAGACCTCTACACCACACATAAAATTATCTGTAAGGTCCCTCAGTCAAGCAGTGAATTTCAAACACAGATTCAACCACAAAGACCAGGGAGGTTTGCCAATCCCTCGCAAAGAAGGCATCTATTGGTAGATGGGTAAACATTAAAAAGCAGAGATTGAATATCCGTTTGAGCATGGTGAAGTTATTAATTACACTTTGGATGGTGTATCAATACACCCAGTCACTATAAAGATGCAGGCTTCCTTTCTAACTCAGTTGCCGTAGAGGAAGGAAATCGTTCAGGGATTTCACCGTGAGTCCAATAGTGACTTTAAAACAGTTAGTTTATTGGCTGTGATAGGAGAAAACTGAGGATGGATCAGCAACATTGTAGTTACTGCACAATACTAACCTAAATAACAGAGAGAAAAGAAGGAAGCTTGTACAGAAAATAATATTCCAAAACATGCATCCTGTTTGCAACAAGACACTAAATTAATACTGCAAAAAATATGGCGAAGCAATTCACTTTTTGTCCTGAATACAAAGTGTTATATTTTAGACAAATCCAATACAACACATTACTGAGTACCACTCTCCATATTTTCAAGCATAGTGGTGGCTGCATCATGTTATGGGTATGCTTGTAATCGTTAAGGACTAGGGAGTTTTTCAGGATAATAAATAAACGGAATGGAGCGAAGCACAGGCAAAATCCTAGAGGAAAACCTGGTTCAGTCTGCTTTCCACCAGACACTGGTAGATGAATTCACCTTTCAGCAGGACAATAACCTAAAACACAAGGCCAAATCTACACTGGAGTTGCTTACCAAGAAGACAGGGAATGTTCCTGAGTGGCTGAGTTACAGTTGTGACATAAATCTAATTGAAAATCTATGGCAAGACCTGAAAATGATTGTCTATCCATGATCAACAACCAATTAGACAGAGCTTGAAGAATTTTGTAAAGAATAATGGGCAAATGTTGCAGAATCCAGGTGTAGAAAGCTCTTAGAGACTTACCAAGAAAGATTCTGTAATCGCTGCCAAAGGTGATTCTAACATGTATTGACTCATGGGGTTAAATAGATTGTTGACAAAAAATGACAAACTCCAAGCGGGCTGTCATGTGCCTTTTACTGAGGAGTGGCTTCCGTATGGCCACTCTACCATAAAGGCCTGATTGGTGGAGTGCTGCAGAGATGGTTGTCCTTCTGGAAGGTTCTCCCATCTCCACAGATTAACTCTGGGGCTCTGTCAGAGTGACCATCGGGTTCTTGGTCACCTCCCTGAACAAGGCCCTTCTCCCCCGATTGCTCAGTTTGGCCAGGCAGCCAGCTCTAGGAAGAGTCTTGGTGGTTCCAAACTTCTTCCATTTAAGAATGATGGAGGCCACTGTGTTCTTGGGGACCTTCAATGCTGCAGAATGTTTTTGGTACCCATCCCCAGATCTGTGCCTCGACACAATCCTGTCTCGGAGATCTACGGACAATGGCTTGGTTTTTGCTCTGACATGCACTGTCAACTGTGGGACCTTATATAGACAAGTGTGTGCCTTTCCAAATCATGTCCAATCAATTGAATTGACCACAAGTGGACTCCAATCAAGTTGTAGAAACATGTCAAGGATGATCAATGGAAACAGGATGCACCTGAGCTCAATTTCGAGTCTTATAGCAAAGGGTCTGAATACATGTAAATAAGGTATTTCTGTTTATAATTTTTAATACATTTGCAAACATTTCTAAAAACCTGTTTTTGCTTTGTCATTATGGGGTATTGTGTGTAGATTGCCAATTATTTATTTTTTAAATCCATTTTGGAATAAGGCTGTAACGTAACAAAATGTGGAAAAAGTCAAGGGGTCTGCATACTTTCCGAATGCAGTGTGTGTATATATATATATATATATATATATATATATATATATATATATATATATATATATATATATATATATAATTAAATAAAGAAATTAAGAAATATAAATATCAGAACGAGCAATGTCAGAGTCCGAAAAAATATATAATATACACTACCGTTCAAAAGTTTGGGGTCACTTAGAAATGTCCTTGTTTAGACATTGTTAATGTTGTAAATGGCTATCTACATAGGCGTACAGAGGCCCATTATCAGCAACCATCAGTCCTGTGTTCCAATTACATTTACATTACATTTGAGGTTTACATTTACATTTTAGTCATTTAGCAGACACTCTTATCCAGAGCGACTTACAGTTTAGTGAGTGCATACATTTTCATACTGGCCCCCCGTGGGAAACAAACCCACAACCCTGGCGTTGCAAGCGCCATGCTCTACCAACTGAGCTACAAGGGACCAATGGCATGTTATGTTTGCTAATCCAAGTTTATCATTTTAAAAGGCTAATTGATCATTAGAAAACCCTTTTGCAATTATGTTAGCACAGCTGACAACTGTTGTGCTGATTAAAGAAGCAATACAACTGGCCTTCTTGAGACTAGTTGAGTATCTGGAGCATCAGCAATTGTGGGTTCGATTACAGGCTCAAAATGGCCAGAAACAAATAACTTTCTTCTGAAACTCGTCAGTCTATTCTTGTTCTGAGAAATGAAGGCTATTCTATGCGAGAAATTGCCAAGAAACTGAGGATCTTGTACAACGCTGTGAACTACTTCACAGAACAGCGCAAACAGGCTCTAACCAGAATAGAAAGAGGAGTGGGAGGCCCCGGTGCACAACTGAGCAAGAGGACAAATACATTAGTGTCTAGTTTGAGATACAGATGCCTCACAGGTCCTCTAACAGGTCTGTGAGAGCCGGAATTCTTACTGGTTGGTAGGTGATCAAATACTTATGTCATGCAATAAAATGCAAATTAATTACTTAAAAATCATACAATGTGATTTTCTGGATTTTTGTTTTAGATTCCGTCTCTCACAGTTGAAGTGTACCTATGATAAAAATGACAGACCTCTACATGCTTTGTAAGTAGGAAAACCTGCAAAATCGGCAGTGTATCAAATACTTGTTCTCCCCACTGTAAGTAGTTGTGTATGATTGTTAGTGTCTTGTCGTGTACTCGCTCTTTGTTGTTCTCTTGCTCAGTGTTAAGTAAACCTTTACATTGTTGATTCCTGTGTCTGCGTCCTGCCTCTTCGTATCCTCAGTACTCGTCACATATTAGGTATACTGCATTGTTGGAGTTAGAAACATAAGCATTTCGCTGCACCTGCGATAACATCTGCTAAATATGTGTATGCGACCAATTCAGTTTTATTTGATTTGATTTATAGACCACGTGAATATAGACCACATTAATACAATTCAATAAAACTTGCAAAGTGCCAAAATTCAGCATTTTGACATGACCGTCTGTGCAGCCTCTGACTTCTAGGAAGATTTTACCCCACTTAACCCCAACATATCTCCAAAGCCCTAGTTATTTTGTTACTTTGAAAAAGTCATTTCTGAAGATTATTATTATTTATTTCATGTGATTAGTGACTGATCTAATCACATGGAATGTCTGTCCCTAATTTTAATGTCAACCATGTTATGTGAACTGAACTCTCGTTTTAATATGATGAAACTATTCCTTTTAAAATATTTTTTTTCAAAAGAAACATTGAACATTAATAGTCAAATCATAGTGTAAGAGCAGGTGAACTGGTTCTACACTTTTTGGTCATTTCTGGTGTTTTGTTTTGTTCAACTGAATGGGTCGAGCATAACGCATCAACTCCCTGTTACCCATAGCTAGACAGGCTACAAATGTTTTATCAATTATTATTTTTTTTTTACGCTTGCATTCAATTGCCTCTTCCTGTTGCACAAAACAAGCTTCCATTCCCCATGTCAAGAGGGGATTTATGGGTGATTTAAGATTAAATCGTCAACCCTGTTATGGTCAACTCTGTGACATTTATTTGGCACTTATTATAGTTATTTTTTTATTTAAACTCTTGATGGGAAAATGTGTTTTTTATTAAGTTGAACATGTGCTCTTTATGACAGAATGTACAGATTTTGTGAAATATTTATTATTTTGATGAAGGTATATTACCCAAAAGGTATACTCATTTGGTGGAACAACCCAGATAACAATTATCTCCAGATTTAAATATGTTTGTCACATTTCTTTAGAAAAAATCTGTTTTGTTACGAGTCATGGCCAGTCGAGCGTGATTTGTTGACAGCTTCATGACAACTGTTAGTCATTCTAAAGGCATACATGTCTTCTCATTTCAGGAATGTTGACAATCACAGACTTCATCATCATATTACACAGATACTACAAGTCACCGTTGGTAAGTTTGAGAGGACAAACCCATTTGCAATATGTTTTTTCAACATGTGAAACCTATGATGGATTTCTGTATTTCTGTAGTTTATTCTTTAGATATCAATATAGTTGTATTGTTTATAGGTGCAAATATATGAGTTGGAAGATCATAAGCTTGAGACATGGAGAGGTATGTAATAAGCTTTGGATTATATTATGACATTAAATTACATGTACAGAACATTGAACTCACATAGTTTTTACTCTGCACAGAAGTATATTTGCAAGAGACATTCAAACCTTTAGTGAACATATCACCTGAATCAAGGTAAGTTGTTACTGCATAACAATGGCTATTATACAGTTGTGAATGTGTGTATGTCTGTGTGCCATGAATGTGGTTTGAATATACATACCTGCAAAGAAAACACCTGCATTTTCTTTTAATTTGCATTTTATGTCTGTCTGTCTTTGAAGCATATTTGATGCAGTGTATTCCCTCATCAAAAACAAGATCCACCGTCTGCCTGTCATCGACCCTGTTACGGGAAACCCACTTTACATCCTCACACACAAGAGGATCCTCAAGTTCCTACAGCTCTTTGTAAGTCTAAAACCATGACTAACAACCTGACGTTAGGTTTTATGATAATACACACTAGTCCTATTGGGGAAGAATATAAGAAAAACTGTCTTTCTTGAAACAATAAACTGACAAGTCTGCTTTTACTTGAACACTGCCCTCTAGTGGATTTGGAGAAGGTGAATAGAAACTGAAAGTGTCTCTCGCTCTCTCTCTGTTGTGTTGTTCCAGGTGCGTGAGATGCCCAAGCCAGCCTTTATGAAGAAAACTCTAGGGGAGTTGGGCATCGGTACCTACAAGAACATAGCCTTCATCCACCCTGACACACCCATCATCAAGGCCCTGCAGATCTTCGTAGAGAGGAGGGTGTCTGCCCTGCCCGTGGTGGACGTATCTGGTACGTGTTACTTTGACAACTGTTGTTTAAAGATAATTTACAGGTCCATTTGATTGATTTAGATTCAGTTTAACTCTCGTGGTGAAGCCTAATGGTTATGTTTCAATCTCCTCACAGGGAAAGTGGTGGATATTTACTCCAAATTTGATGTCATAGTAAGTGATGATTTTCTAAATATTGATGATCTTAATACAGCTTGATAATCACGTGTCTTCCCCTCAACAATATATCGTGAATGTTTTCCTTCAAAAAGCCATCCTTATGAGTGTGTCTATGTATCGTGTGTAGAACCTGGCAGCAGAGAAGACGTATAATAACCTGGACATCACAGTGACCCAGGCTCTGAGGCATCGCTGCCAGTACTTTGAGGGGGTCATGCAGTGCCACAAGCTGGATACGTTGGAGACCATCGTGGACAGGATTGTCAAAGCAGAGGTGAGTTCTAACACACTTGCCTCTCTTCCTCTCTCTTTCTCTTTCTCTCTAACTTTGTGTGTGTGTGCATGTGTCCCTGTGTGTGTGTGTGTCAGGTCCATCGGTTGGTGGTGGTGGATGATCGCTCAGCCATCGAGGGCATCATCTCCCTGTCTGACATCCTGCAGGCACTGGTGCTCAGCCCAGCAGGTATAGACGCTCAGCATTCCAAACCACCCTCATCCTACACCTGGACCCTGAGCTCCCCACCCTGTCCTGCCCCGCCCCGTACTTCTCACACAGGTAGGACACAAACACACACTCTGGCCCTTGCTGGTTGGCACCCACATGCGGATGGCACGTGCCTGTGCCCATGAGCCGTATCCTGTATGCCAGCTCGTTATGGTGTAGTGTGGGCTTGTCTGTGTGTCTGTGTCCTGTGTCCTGACTCCGGGCCATGTCCTGTCCTCTCCTCCTACCCTCAGATTCAAATAGAAGAACATTAATTTCAACATCTGACCACATGCTTGGGACTCCTTCTTTGTTGTCTTGGTATTTTGTCTATCTGCTTATAGTTTCGAATAATGAAGAAGAATGATAATTGATGTAAGATAAAGAGTTCGCATTTTTGTTCTTTGAAAGAAAATGCATTTCCTGGTGCAGTCATAATGCATTTGGAATTTGCATTTGGAATTTGCTGGTGCATCAGTTCACAGATTGAAAAGTACAGTGAGCAAGACTCATCATCAACTCAGATGTGAGACGTGATGTGAAAGAAACATGAAGCATCTTGCACAACTCTCTCCCTGAAGCAAAGAAGCCTACTATTGTTATGTTCGGCATTAGCCTGGTCCCAGATCTGTTGCTGCTGTATAGGCAACACCTATTGCCATTGCTATGCCATAACAACAACCATAAGAGTTGGCTGTACAGCACAAACAGATCTGGGACCAGGCTAGTGGGATGTGTTCTTGTGTTCTCACCTCACATGTCTGTCCTCTCCTCCCCTAGATGCCTGCAGAGAGGAGGGCCTGCTGGAGTGAGAGGGGAAAAGCCGTGGGGACCACTGAGGTTGAAGGCTGTCATAAAACTTTTATTAGACTTCTATGTTTCTGGCCATGGGGCCCAGAGCCCTTGGTATTGATGTGCTAGACTTTGAAACCAAAAGGCTGGGCTGGACTTCACTAGACTGGATTGGACTGATACTGGGATGTAAAGGGCTCCAATGCCTGAGGACCAGCATCTCTCTGTCTAAATGGAACTGGACTTCATTCACTGTGGGAGGGTTATAGTAGGGTGGACTGATGAAACTGCTGTATTGGGCTCTTCTGTTAGGTTGAGCCAGTCTGGAGACTGTGGTTAGGTATATGAGAGCTATGTATATTTTGTTTTTTCTCTCTGAATCATGCTGCTGTGTCGTTGTTCCAGCAACAGTGCCTAGTCACTCCCAGTAAGTTTTAAACCTTCAAGGAAGAAGATTGACAGATATGGTCAAAGCATCTTAGACTTGATGATACACACTTTAGGAGAAATCGCAAGTTTTCATGCTTTACCTTGTTATGGTGGGAGGGGCTGTATTTTCATTTGAGTAATATGCTGTGAAGAGAGACAGAACAGGGAAAAAAGGCTTTATTTTAAGACATTTATTTTGCCTGATTAATGTACTTGAGCGATTATTCACGTCCATCTATAATCGACAGACACGAAAACCATGCAAAGGAAAATGGCAGATTCTGAACTGCTCACAACTGGGCTCCTGTGCTGTGGCCAGAGTACACAACTCTGACAAAACTCATCTCTGTTGTTTTACTGTAAATAAGAACATTTTGAAGAAAAGTGCCAGAGAAAGATTTATTTTTTATCTAAGTTTAAAACAAATCATGTTAAATTGACTACAGTTTAATATTATTTTTGTAAATATAATGTGGCAATAAAATGTTGTATTCAAAGAAAATGTGTATTCAGAACAAGATGGCCTGTACATGTGCAAGCATGATAAATGACACTATAACAGTTATGAATGTTGTTCTTTACTTTTCTGAAAGCAGAAAAAAATAATGTATGTAATGTGTGTTGCTGCATATCTTCTTTTTAATGGCAGATTTTCACCACCACATGATACATTTAATTATGTTTTATTTTGAGTTAGCAAGAAAGCCAAATTAAAAGTGCTTGGGTAAATCAATTTGATATAATGATAATTGATTGATGTAATATTTTTATCACCGCCATACACTTTAATTATTTAACGTCATACAGTATAACACATTTTCTATGCCCTTCTCTAATGGAACTTATTTGACAGTCATGGTGGCTATAATGCCTTCAATGATAATCATCGTGACATTGGATGTCTGAACACTGCCACCATCTAGTGGTTAGGAGCTGCACTGCAGGCATATCTGCACCTGTTCTAAGATTGGCCATCACGCGCGTTGATGGCACGTTAAGTATATTTAGTTTCTGAGGCTCAGAGGATACCAATGGCAGTTTGTGTTTTCTCCCTCTTGTCTTCGAAGCTCGATGCTAGAAACTATTGGAGGCCTCCTATGACAAATTGAAATTGTTTACACAGTAGGAAGTTGCTTGAATGATTTTAATATTTAAAGGAAACAAAATGGCTTCAGGCCATATACAGACCAGCAAACACCACCAAGGTCCCCCTCAAAAGCTGTCCTACTTCAGCTTTCAAGCAAAGGATACTCCCAAAACCATTCCAAGCATTTCTTGAACACCAGCCTACAAGGTGACAGTGTAATATAAGCAGTATAGGCGGCAGGTAGCTTAGTGGTTAAGAGCGTTGTGCCAGTAACCGAAAGGTCGCTGGTTCTAATTCCCGAGCCGACTAGATGAAAAATCTGTCGATGTGCTCTTGAGCAAGGCACTTAACCCTAATTGCTCCTGTAAATTGCTCTGCATAAGAACGTCTGCTAAAAATGTAAAAAATAACTGTATGAGGTGCTAATGCTGCATTCATAACCAAGTGGGAAGGTGATGTTTACCACATACGACTGGGAAAAATCCACTTCAACGCCCCTCCAAGTTGTATTTACTAGTGGGAAACTCGTCTATCATCCCTGAGCTCCCACTTCTCCCAAATGGTGACCTCTGACGTCACCTACTAATGTTAAATGTAACAACAAAACATTATTTATGAAAAGCAATCTATTAATATGGTTTTTGAACTCGTATCATTTGTTTACAAGCATAATATCTGTAATTTTAGTTTATGGTTGACACAGCTTGTTGGCCATTAGCCAATCAGCGTTTCTCAACGAGTTTAAAGCATGTGAATGCATCCAACTGGTATTTACGACTTCACAACTGGTAATTATCACCTTCCCACTTGGCTGTGAATGCAGCTTAAGCACCATGCGATTGTATGCTAGATAGACACACTGTGAAGGTCACTAGAATGTCATTTAGGGATCAAATGATACATGATGTTTTGCTCCAATTTTGCTCCAAATTCACCAACAAAATAATATTTATTCATAGAAATGATATGCCATGTATTACCAGGCAGTAGATAGAGGCATCTGCTAGCCTGTGTGTGGAGTAGGAATGGTACTGTAATCTCAATGGCTCTACTGGACTTCAATGGATTTAATGCAAAGATAAAACTAGTATTTTTCTAGACACTGGTCTTAGATCAGTTTTACCCCCCTCTACTAACCAGCATTGAGGATGAAATCTCCCCAACACCTTGTAACCCTAAAGCAAGAGGGCTTATCGGCTTGCTGGCCCCCTCCTGAACTGACAGCCCATCACACACACACACATACACACACTGGATGTTCCCATGAAAGTGTAAGGGTGATTTAAAATTCTCCTTCATCGGAGCGTCATGTATTTTATATGCATGGAGAGAGAGGAGGGCTTGAGAGGGACTCCTCTTTTCCTCTCAGGGATATCTCTCCTTTCATTCTTTCTCTCCCCCCCTTCTATTTCCACTCTCTTTTTCGCTCTCTCTCTTAGCATTAGTTTTACTGCATCATGCTTTTCACAAATTCTGTGAAGGAAGGAGCACACGACCCTGGCCTTTGAAGACAAGTGTGATATGAATGAGGAGGGGAGAGGGTGTAAAAATCAGGCCTCTGGGCATTTGATTTTTACACTCGTCGCATTTAGCTGCACAGAGAGGAGTCAGGGAGGGTGAGGACTGACAAGCTCTATGTTTCGGGGGGTCTGCTTTCATGTCTTGTAGGGTGCGGTTGCTGTTCCTCTGCAGAGCCCCTAAGAATAGGAGGCTCAGACAGCCGTATGCACTGACTAGACAGCACACAGCCACACAGACAGGGAAAAGCACTATGATAAAAGTCTCTCTCTCTTTCCCTCCCACTCCCTCTCTCTCTTTCCCTCCCACTCCTTCTCTGTCTGTCTCTCTCTCTCTCTTTCCCTCCCACTCCCTCTCTCTCTTTCCCTCCCACTCCTTCTCTGTCTGTCTCTCTCTCTCTCGATAGATGAGCACACAACATGGTGGATGAAATATTTGAGACAGTTCATATTTTAAATCAATATTGGTGTCTGTAATTCTTTTGTCAGTCACAGGGAGTTATTCCATAAATGTAATATAACACAACCCAATCTTATAATATATATATTTTAAATTTTATTCAGAATGTTAGGAACACCTTCCTAATATTGAGTTGCACCCCTTTGCCCTCAGAACAGTCTCAATTCGTCGGGGCATGGACTCTACAAGCTGTCAGAAGCGTTCCACAGGGATGCTGGTCCATGTTGACTCCAATGCTTCCCACAGTTGTGTCAAGTTGGCTGGATGTCCTTTGAGTGGTGGACCATTCTTGATACACACGGGAAACTGTTGAGCGTGAAAAACCCAGCAGCGTTGCAGTTCTTGATACACTCAAACCGGTGCGCCTGGCACCTACTACCATACCCCGTTCAAAGGCACTTACATCTTTTGTCTTGCCCATTCACCTTGTTATTGTTACTATTACGTTATTGAATACTGAATTGTTGAGGTTAGAGCTTGCAAGACAGGCATTTCACTGTACTTGTGAATGTGACATTAAAACTTGAAACTTGGTCAGTCTATGTCATGGAAAGACCAGGTGTTGCTAATGTTTTGTACACTCAGTGTCCTGTATATCACAAGCCAAAACAATACCAGACCACATGCAGAAACACACATCTCAGACTGCAGGAAAGATGTGGTTTATTGGGAACAACATGATCCCAGCTAGCTTACTGTGAATACATACCTAGCAGTAAACAATGGTAACGCATTTTCTTTCACCTTTTAAGTGCCACAGGCTGAGGATTATATTTACAACGCTAAAACCATGGTGTTGTGTAGGCTACATTCATTTAAACAGAATTACAGAAGGGAATATGAGAAAGACTTTACTTCAAATTATTCCTCCTCACATACAAACTATTACACATCTTTTAATTATGAATAAGTCAGTTAATGACTTATTATCCAAAGGCCTGGACAAGACTACAGTACTGAATAAAATGTCATTACATTTTTTCTTTATAT